GTTTAGCTGGATCCTGCGTGTAGGGGTATATTCTCGTTACATTACGATAGGGCCATGGACCCCGCAGATTTAGCTCAACAGATGGCGTCCCATGAGGCAAGATTTGTAGAGCAGGATCACCGTATGGATCAAATAGCTCAGGCTCTCCAGACGCTCCTAGCTAGAACCGTTCCAGCAACTACACCTAACCCTCCTACGCCCCTTCTCCCTGAAGTATCTACTTTGCCTAATACTTCGGCCCATTTAACACCTCCTCCTAGGTATGGAGGGGACTCTAAGACTTGCAGAGGGTTTATTAATCAGATTGAATTTCACTTCGAAATGTATCCACGTTCATTTCCCACAGAGAGGTCTAAGGTTGGGTTCTTTATGCACCAACTTACCGATAAGGCACTTGAGTGGGCAAATCCTATTTGGGAAGCTAATGGACCTATGGTACATGATTTCAACAGTTTTCTTACGGCTTTTCGTAGAACTTTTGACACAATGAAAAGGTCAAAGAATGCCGCGAGAGCATTAATGAGAATTAAACAGGGTTCTAGGTCTGTGGCTGATTATGCTATTCAGTTTCGCACTCTTGCTTCGCAGGTAGATTGGACCAACAATGGGTTAACTACTGCCTTTATGGAAGGTTTGTCAGATACGATATTGGATGAGGTAGCAGCTAAGGAGCTTCCTATTGCCTTAGAGGACCTTATCGATTACCTCATTGATATTGATAATAGAATTCGTGACAGGCTCTATACCAAGAACAGGAATAGACGTTTTGTTACACCCATTAACCCCAGAGTTAATATACCAGAGAGTGTTAAAGTGTCTGAGGAGGAACCTATGCAATTAGGGGTTGCCAAACTCTCTGATACTGAGAAATTACATAGGAGAAGGGAGGGACTCTGCCTATACTGTGGTAGGAGAGACCATATGGTAAAGGAATGTCCTTTACTCCCGGAAAACTCTCGCACCTAAGACCTTATAGGGGACTGGCCTTGGGTGTGATATCTAAGTCTCCTAAATTGCCTCCTAACCGCTTGCTTCTCCCGGTTTCTTTATATATGGGAGAGATTTGTATAGTTGACAACATATATGCTCTGGTTGACTCTGGGGCAGCTGAAAATTTTATAGACTCTGGCTTTATAAAGAGAAACAACATTCCCATCAGAGAGAAGGAGATACCCTTGGCCGTTGAGGCCATAGATGGTAGACCATTAAGTTCTCCAGTTGTTACTCATGAGACTGTACCATTACACATGTACACAGGGGTTTTACACTATGAAACCATTCGATTCCAGGTCATCACCTCTCCCTCTTCACAGTTAGTATTAGGGTATCCATGGTTACGTGCTCACAATCCCATTTTTGACTGGGAGACAGGGCAAATAAAATCATGGAGTGAGGCCTGCCACGAGTCTTGTACGTTGGAAGTCACCCCTTTGAATTCTATTGAGGTACCTACCAGTCCTCCTTTGTCTACGGTTATACCCCCTCAGTACTTATCTCTAAAGACTGTTTTCGATAAAAGGGAGGCTGAGAAATTACCGCCTCACAGACCCTATGATTGCGCTATTGACTTGTTGCCTGGCACTATACCTCCAAAGGGCAGGGTGTACCCCTTATCGGTTCAAGAAAACCGTGTCATGGAGGAGTACATCAAGGAATCACTAGAAAAAGGGTTTATTAGGAGATCCTCTTCTCCAGCTGGAGCAGGGTTCTTCTTTGTATCGAAGAAAGAAGGTGATTTAAGACCGTGTATAGATTATAGAGGTCTAAACAAAATCACTATCAAAAATGCATACCCTATACCTTTGATTACAGAATTATTTGACAGGCTGAAACATGCCACTGTGTTCACTAAATTAGACCTTAGGAGTGCATACAATTTGATACGTATAAAGGAAAATCACGAATGGAAGACTGCATTCAACACTAGATCCGGTCATTACGAATATACTGTTATGCCATTTGGGCTTTGCAATGCCCCAGCGGTATTCCAAGAATTTATTAATGATGTCTTGAGAGATTTTATTCACACATTTGTTATCGTATACTTGGACGACATTTTAATATATTCTACAGATATACACACTCATCACAGACATGTTACGACAGTTTTGAAGACCCTTCTTGCTAATGGTCTTTATTGCAAGCTAGAAAAATGTCTGTTTGACCAAACCGAAGTCCAGTTCTTGGGGTATTTGATTTCCGCTAAAGGTTTTCGTATGGATCCCCAGAAGCTAGCTGCTGTAATAGAATGGCCTCTACCGCAAGGTCTGAAAGCTATTCAGCGTTTTCTTGGGTTCTCCAATTATTATAGGCGTTTTATCAAAGGTTTCTCGTCCATTGTAGCACCTATCACTCGTATGACTAAAAAGGATGGCAATACTCGTGTTTGGTCTACCGAGGCACTTCAGGCTTTTGAATTTCTTAAAACTACGTTCGCCTCTGCACCTATTTTACAGCATCCTGTCCCCTCACTGCCCTATATTCTTGAAGTTGATGCTTCGGATATTGGGGTAGGTGCTGTCTTATCCCAAAGAGAGTCGCCTGAGAAGCCATTGCATCCATGCGGCTTCTTTTCTAAACAAATGTCCAAAGCAGAGAAAAATTATGATGTGGGTAATCGCGAACTCCTTGCTATTATTTTAGCACTTAAAGAGTGGAGACATTTGTTAGAAGGAACTAAGGATCCTATCCTCATTTTTACGGATCACAAGAACCTATCCTACCTTAGCGAAGCCAAAAGATTGTCTTCCAGGCAGGCTAGGTGGTCACTATTTTTGTCCCGTTTCAATTTTATTATCACCTATAGGCCAGGTGATCGCAACACTAAAGCAGACGCTCTGTCCAGACAGTTCGAAACTACTGACAAACAGGAGATTGATGTTACTCCTGTCATTCCCCCAGACAGGATAATAGCTACTACTATTTTGTCTATTTCCTCGTCCCTCTTGCAGGCCATACAAGCGAAACAAAGCATGGCACCTAGCGAGAGGCCTAATGATAAACTGTTCGTTGATGTTCCTGAGAGACGGGATATTATGTCATTATATCATGATACTAAGACCGCTGGACATCCTGGTATTTCCAAAACGGTGTCAGCTGTTTCTCGGTATTTTTGGTGGGATTCCTTACGAAAGGATGTCACTGACTATATAAGTGCTTGTACTACTTGTGCCTGTATGAAATCCTCCCGTAGAGTTCCTTGTGGGCTGTTGCATCCGTTACCCGTTCCCGAGAGACCTTGGTCTAACCTGTCCATGGATTTTATTGTTGAATTACCCCCTTCAAATGGTAACACAGTGATCCTGATGATAGTGGATCGGTTCTCCAAAATGGCTCACTTCGTGTCTCTTCGCAAGTTGCCCACATCCAAGGAACTGGCTCATATCTTCGCTAGAGAAGTATTTCGATTACATGGGATTCCCGTATCTATTGTATCCGATAGGGGTAGCCAATTTATTTCCAGGTTCTGGAGGGCCTTTTGTTCAGAAATGGGTATTTCTCTCTCATTTTCTTCCGCTTATCATCCCCAGTCTAATGGGGCTGCTGAACGTGCCAACCAGTCTCTGGAGCAATACCTCCGTTGTTTTGTGTCTCACCATCAGGACAATTGGTCTGACCTGCTTCCTTGGGCTGAATTTGCTCGGAATAACGCCACTCATGATTCTTCCGGCAAGACCCCTTTTTACGTTGTCTATGGCCAGCATCCCGTTGTTCTTCCGGCTGCATTCTCCTCACAGGGCATGCCAGTTCTGGATGAGCATTTGGCTGGTTTGCGTAATACTTGGGAGCAGGTTCAGCGTTCTTTGGTGGACTCTGCTACTCGCCAGAAGGCTCAGGCTGACAAGCATCGCAGAGCAGCTCCGTCCTATGTTGTGGGGGACAGGGTTTTGCTTTCCACGCGGAATATTCGTCTCCGGGTGCCTTCTATGAAATTGGCTCCCCGCTTCATTGGACCTTATCGTATTATACATAAGGTTAATCCTGTTTCTTATGCCTTGGGCCTGCCTAAGAATCTACGTATTCCTAATGTTTTTCACACCTCATTGTTGAAACCTTTCGTACGCAACCGCTATACCCGGCATGCTCCTCCTCCCCCTCCTATCTCGGTGGAGGGTCATGAGGAGTTTGAAGTGTCTGCTGTTCTTGACTCTCGTTTCCTTAGGGGTCGACTTCAGTACTTGGTACATTGGAAGGGTTATGGGCCTGAGGAGCACAGTTGGATTTCGGCTGATGCTGTCCATGCTCCCCGTCTTGTGCGCTCTTTCCATTTTCGTTTTCCTGCCAGGCCTGGTCCTACCCGCCCGGGGGGCGTGTCCTCAGGGGGGGGTACTGTAGCGTTACTTACCTTAACCGGGGGCCGGTCGCGGTCCTCTCTTCAAGCCGCGCGCGGTCCTGCGGCTGCACGAGCCGCGCGCGGCTCATCCGACTGCTTCAGATGGAAGGCGGGCAGTGACCGCGTGAAGCGGTCACGTGTCCCGCCTGAAACTAAGAGCGCGCCGCGAGTCTCGGGCGCGCTCTTAAAGAGACAGTGGGAGCCTAATTGCCAAAAGGCTCCCATTGGCTCCTGTCATACCACACTCCCTGTACAATTACCTATAGGGGGTGTGGAAGTGACAGGAGCCAATCACTTTCGTTTTAAAGCTATTTAAACTTACCTTTTTCCCTTAGCTCGTTGCCCTATCGTGGTTTCTGTTTCAGTTCCCTTTAGCGCTTGTGGTGTTCAGTTGTGTTTTCTCGTATTGACTTTGGCTTCGTATTCTGACTTCGTTTTCGCTTTATCCTTATCTGTACTGTTTGCCGGCTTGCTGTTTTCCGTGTACCAGACCCCGGCTTGTCCTAGTTTACGCTGTCTCTCTGTGCCCTTGACCTCGGGTTGTTCCTGGCTCTGTCTCCTCTCATATACGTCGAGTCCGGCCATTCTAAGGTCCGGTAGACGTATCTCTCCTCTGTATTTGCCTCTGTTTAGCTGGATCCTGCGTGTAGGGGTATATTCTCGTTACACTCACATTCTTTTGAGCAGGTTTGTACTGCTCAATATAGGCGCTTGGGTGGTATAATCACCACCTGTGGATTCTTTGAGATGTCCGTAAGTAAAGGGAGCAAATCGCTCACGTCCTAAGGGCTGTAGGACAGGAAAAAGTTACAGGATTTTTACAAGTCACAAACTCCTCCCCTGTGCCTGAGAGATAATTGAGTCAGGATCTGTTCAAACTCAATTATCTCCAAATACAGAAAAACTTACAATTTACAAACACCCCAAAAGTACCCCCAAGATCCATGGAAACCCCACAAAAGTCACATCCTCGGATAGCTCAGATCTGGGTGACCAACATATCCCAAAATCACCCAGATTG